TTTTTTTTTTTTCAAAACAGACAGTTTCTTTGTGTAACAGCTCTGGTTGTCCTGGAACTCACTTTGTAGACCAGGCTGGCCTTGAGCTCAGAGATCCACCTGCCTCTGCCTCCTGAGTGCTGGGATTAAAGACATGGTGCTACCACCACCTGGCTCATCTTTCTTTATAGCTGAATAAAATCCCACTGTGTACATGTGGTGGTTTGAGTGAAAATGGCCTCCATAGGCCCATAGGGAGAGGCACTACTGGAGGTGTGGACTTGTTGAGGAAGTGTGTCACAGGGTGTGAGCTTTGAGATTCAGAAGCTAAAGCAAGCACCAGTGGCTCACTTGCACTTCCTGCTGCCTGCTGATCCAGATGTAGAACTCTCAGCTCCTTCTCCAGCACCATATCTGCCTGCATGCTGCCATGCTTCTGCCATGACAATAATGAATGAAACCTCTGAACTGTAAGCCAGCCCCAGTTAAATGTTTTCCTTTGTAAGTGTTGCCATGGTCATGGTGTCTCTTCACAGCAACAAAACCCTAAGACAGCATACGTGACATATTTTCATCACCTACTTATCAACAGATATCTAGGTTGCCTCCATTTCCTAGCTACTGTGATTAACAAAGCAATGAACTTGAGTGCACATATATCCCTGTAAAAGGATATAGAGTCCTTCTGATATATGCCCAAGAGATGTATAGATGGTCATATGGTAGCTCTAGTTCTTCCTTCCTTCCTTCCTTCCTTCCTTCCTTCCTTCCTTCCTTCCTTCCTTCCTTCCTTCCTTCCTTCCTTCTTTTCTTTCTTTCTTTCTTTCTTTTTTTTTGAGACAGCGTTTCATTACATAACTTCCTGGCCTGGATTGCACTACCTAGGTCAGGCTGGCTTTGAACTCACAGAGCCCTGCCTCTCTCTGCCTCCCAAAGTCTATGATTAAAGTTGTGCACCACCACACTTGGCCTCTATATGAATATTTGGTCCTATTTCCTGGGTCCTATTCAGAAAGTCCTTCTCTGAGCTTTTTCTGGAAGTATCCTCCCTCCTCTTCCCTCCAGAAGTTTCAGAGTTTTAGGTCTAATACTCAACTCTCTGATCCACTAGGAATTGGTTTTGTGCGGGGTGAGAGATAAGTATCGTTCATTTTCCTACACATGGATAGTTTTCTAAGCACATTTGTTGAAGAGGCTCTTTTTTCCAGTGTGTATTTTAAGCATCTTTGTAAAAATTCAGGTAGATATAGGTACATGGAATTATATCTGGATTCTACATTTTTACTTCATTGATTCTGTGTCTATAGTAGGATATAAAATCCTTTGGATGTAGGTCCAGGAATTATACAGCTGGTTGGTCATATGGTAGATGTTTCTAGCAGAGCCGTGTAGTTTTTACCATATGGCTTTGTGATATCATTGAAATCATCCCTGGTGATACCTTCAGCATTGTTTTGATTGTATGGAGTCTTTTAAATTTCTAAGTGAATATTGTTTTTCACTTTCTGTGAAAATTGCATAGGAATTTTGATGAGAATTGCATTGAGTCTGCAGATTGGCTTTGGTAGGACCGTCATGTTCTACCCATCCCTGAGCATGGGGGTGGGGTGGGCCACTCTATCTTCTGGCGTCTTAATTGCTTTCATTCTATAATAGTCCACTTCCTTGGGAAGGTTCACTATGAAGTTTTTTTGCTGTTTTTTGTGAATGGGATCATTTCCCTGATTTCTTTCTCAGCATTTTTGTCTTGGTATATTGAAAGGCTACTGATTTGAATATGCTAAATTTGAACCTGTCAACCGGTCACTGTGGAAAGTGTTGAGACATAGGATCTGAAAATAGGGATGTTTTGACTTCTTTCTTTCTGACTTGTATCCCCTTTGTTTCCTCATCTCACCTTATTGCTCTAGCTGGGGCTTCAGGTACTCTACTGAATAGGTGACAAGGGGACACCTTCGGCTTTTCCTGATCATAGCTGGAATGCTTTGTGGTGTTCTCCATGAACATGATGGTGGCTACAGGTTTGTCATATGTTAGCCTTTATTATGCCGGTTTCCTTTTAGTCTCTGGATTTTTTTCTTACCATAAAAGGATGTTAGATTTTGCCCAAGACCTTTTCTGTGTTGAGGTGGTCATATAATTTTTGTCCTTGGGTCCATTTATGTGGGAATTACATGTCTTGATTTGCGGTATGTTGAACTATTCCTGCATTCTTAGACGAATGATAACTCTATCATGAATATGTCCTTAAATTTGGTTTGTATTTTTTGTGTCCGTGTTCACCAGGGAGATTAGGCTGTAATTTTCTCCCTTTGCCCCTCTCTCTTGTAGAGGCTTTATCTGGTTTCGGTATCAGGGTAATAATGGCTTTGAAGAAGAGTTTGGAAGTGTTCCTTTTCGATCTTAATGACTCATCTGACAAGCATTTGGCCCTGGGCTTTTTTTTTTTTTTAAGTTAGATTTTAAATTACTTCTTCTATCCTGATGCTTATAATAGATATATTTAAATAATGCAATACATCTCAGTTGGACTTTGGAGGTCATATGCATCTAGAAATTCATCCATGTCTTTTAGATTTTTTCCTATTTGGTGGAATATACTATTTTAAAGCATGACCTTATGACTCTGAATTTCCTACGTGTCTGTTCTGTCTCCCTTTTCATCTACTATTAATTGGGTCTTCTTTATCATTTAATAGTGTTGTTTAATCTCTGAGAAATTATATATTTTTTGCTGTTTTTCTTGATGTTGATTACTAGCTTTCTCTCACTGTGGTCAGATAGAATACTGGTTGTTGCTTCAATTTTCTTATATTTATTGAGACTTACTTTGTGCCCTAGTATGTATTCTGTTGAGAGGTTACCTGGCCTCACTTGGTTCTGACTGATTTTAAAATTTATTTATTTTGTCAGATATTAGAAGCAAGCTATGCCTACTTGTCTCCCAGTCCCATTTGCTTGGGATACCTTCTTTCATCCTGTCACCTTAAGATGGGGTTTATCTTTGTTGTGCAGTATTTGCTTACACTGTAAAGATGTATCTTTGCCAAACCACCTTCTGATTGGTTTAATAAGGAGCTGAATGACCAACAGTGAAGCAGGAAGAGGTTAGGCAGGACTTCTGGAGACAGAGAGGACTCTGGGAAGAAATGCAGAGTTGCCAGAGGAAACAGGAGGTGCAAGATGGAAGAGAGGTAATACCTTGTGTTAGAATGTAGATTAACAGAAATGGGTTAAGTTATAAAAACTAGTTAGGAACAAGCCTAAGCTATAGCCTGAGCTTTCATAATTAAAAAGAAGTCTCTGTGTCATTATTTGGGAGCTGGCTGACAGGACAAAGAAAAGACTCATTATTCATTTGATGGTAGCATTTTTTTTAAGGCAGCAAAAAGAGGGATTCTGTTTTCTAATCCATCTGCCGGCTTCTCTCTTTTGACAAGGTCTCTCTATGTAGTCCTAGCTGTCCTGGAACTATTTAGATCAGGCTGGCCTCAAACTCACAGAGGCCTACTTGCCTCTGCCCCATAAGAGCTGGGATTAATGGTGTGCACCATCATGCCTGACTAGTCTCTTTTGATGAAGTAATTGAGACATTAATATTCAGTTATTACTGGGAAGGTGTATATTGTCCATGGTGTTTTGTACAATGGCCATGACTTTTGCAGATTTGGTATCAAAGTTTGCAAATTTTTCATGATTTCAAAAATGTGTTCTTAATGTAGAGCTTAGAGAACCCCATCATTTTGTTTCTCTTCACTTTCACTTTACCACTTTTTTGACTGATCTGAATTTCTAGTGCCATTACTCTCCCATTTTGGGGGCCACTAGAGTGAAACAAGCATTACATGAACATATGATGACAATATACACAACCAAGGCAGTTACTAAATGACTATGGGGCAAGCAGCACACACAGTGTGGATCCACTACACAAAAGGGTGACTCACACCCTGGGCAGAATGGCAAGAGACTGTGCACAATTTCATTATGTTCCTCAGACTGGCATGCACTTTCTGGAACTTTCCATTGACTATTTTCAGACTATGTTTGACAGTGAAGCCACATGGTGTACTGCAAGCTTCCACCAATGTAGCTTTTATCTCGTTGGGTGACACATTGCTGGGATCCACTTCTCCCCAGGGTCCTCTTCCATGGCTAGTTAATTTTGGTAGTGTATTTTAACTAAAGGAATCCAAACGGAACCACCATGGAACACAGGTCACCTCTGTGAACATTTTCAATGACAAGAGAATGGAAATGAGGTGAAAAGGAAAATTGGTGAGAAAAAGTGAGTCTCTTAAAATTAAAATTGACGTGAGCTACTTTCAGGGGCTGCAGAGATGGCTGTGCTCTTACAGATGACCCAGTTTGGTTCTCAGAACATAGTGGCTCACAACCACCTGTAACTTCAGTTCCAGTGGAATTAGCGCCCTCTCCTGACCGTTCTGGGCACTGCACACACATGATGCACATACTCATTCAGGCTTACACATACATATGGATAATATATATATATATATATATATATATATATATATATATATATCTTTAGAAGATGAACTACTTTTAGTCCCTTGTAATGTCAAAATATTAAAAAATTTCCTCAACACCAGAAAAATGTTTACTTTTCCTAAACCCAGAGGACTTGTGTTTATGTGGCCAAACTTTACCAATACTGATTGCTTTTTAAAGACCTGAAATAAATGGTGATTCTTGACCTGCTTGGTTCTTTAAGAAAAATATTAGAAAAAGATCCATGAAATTATCATCTTATAGGCCCAAAGTGGTTAATACAGACAATTTCGTGTCTCATCTACTAGAGGCGTGGGCTGAGGGAATCCGACATCTGGAGCTACTTATCTGTTATAGGAAAGTGGAAAATGCCAGCTAGTTTACTCAGCATCCAAACTCTTTATGTAACCTGTTTTGTGCAAGAAAGCCTTTTGATGTCATTTTAGGATGCTGCGTCTAATCCCCTAAGATAAAGACAAAGCAACCCACCTGTGTAACCTGCTGGCTTTGGGGCAGCACTGTCGTCTGCAAGCTCTTGCTGTACGAGTGCTGGAATAGCTGTGAGGGTCCTGAGCTGGACGTTTGCTTCCGAGAGTTAGACAATACATTCCCAGAGCTTGAGTCAGAAAGAAACGACTCTAGGAACTGATTCAAGGACAATGGTTTTATTAACTATGGAGGGGATGTCTGGCAGGTGGGACGGGCAACCTCCACCCGATAGCTTTTTGTATTGCTTCGATTTTTTCCAATGAGGATGTTTTTATAATACTTGCACACCATCACAAAAAGAAAATAGCCTCTGGTTTAACTGACAGATTTATTTAACAGCTGAGGCAGTCTAACACACTGCTGGCCAATTCTGTAGGACAATCCTTCTGGATACAAGGGCCAGAGAGGAAGGCGTTACTTGCTGACATGCTCATTTAGTATCTTCTCAATCAATTTGCTTTATTTTAGCTCAAACACGTTTTTGTTGTGGTTGCTGAACAGAATAGACACCTTGGTTGCATGAGCTACAGATGATGATTTATTTGCCTTTCTGGACTTTGATCTTCCTCAGACAGGACTCCAGCTCCTTGCTCTTTAGCACTCACCAAATACTTTAGCTCATTATGGCTCAGGCCATGAACATGTTCTTGTCGTGTTAATTCAGGTTATGTCTTTCTAGATACAGTAGGCTGAACTTCTGTGAGGAAGGGGAGAGTTAAAAGTCCAGACATAAGCTGAACTTTTCCCATAAGCAAGACCAACATATTGAATTTATGAGACATAATAACACAGAGACCAGGGTTTCTGAGTCTGGGCCCCACTGACACTGAGCAGATCATCTGTAGTGTGTTTAGCAACAGCCCTTGGCTCTTTACCTGCTGGGTGCCCAAAGAACCCTTTCCCAGCTGTGCCAAGTTTCTTTAGGCAATTATCTCCTGGGGGACAAAACTGTTCAGAAACAGTGGCAGAAACTGCATGTTGATTCCAGACTGTAATGCCCCGTGGTCAGCATTCTACTTAGTAGTGAGTTATCAGTGGCAGCTCAGAGTAAATGGCCTGAGTTTATAAAAATGAATCACAAGAAAAAGCAGAAACTAAAGTTGAAAATTAGCTTACTTAAAAAGGGAAATGGAAGCCAAGCAGAATCACACTAGGGCTGAGCTAGCAAACCAGCTCTGGGGCCGCCGGGGCTCTGCCCCATCTCCCACACTCTGGAGGGCAGCTGAGAAGACCAGGGAGTAAATTCTTTGAAACGCCATCCTTGTATCTGACCCAGCACTGTACCCTAGTCCAAACCAAATGAGACAACTCAGACAGACAGAGAGACAGACACAAACATACACAGCAAAAGACAGGATGTAAGAGGCAACACTGTTCTGTTTGTAGTTAGATTCCAATAAAAATTTAAGGACAAGCTATTATAACTGACTTTCAAAAAGACTGCTGGATATAAGCACCTAAAAGTCAACAGCATTCTCAGAAATTAAGAGAAAATGAACAAAAAAGTCAAAAACAAATTTAACCTAATAAAAACATATATAAAACCACCAAGAAGAAAACAGAAATAATATTGAAGGGGCAGTAAAATCCCTAAATAAATGGACAGATGAACAGATAAGCTTTAAAAACACGTTAATTCTCAAACTAATCTATAGCCCAAAGCCCAACAACGCCACAGCAGTGTTTCCATTACACTGGACTGTCGTGGTATTTGCTCCGCCCATGACCTTGGCTACCCAGCCCGAAAGAGGTGCTTCTTGCCCCCTTATGTGACTTCTTTACTTCTTGCCTGCTTACGTGACCTCTTGCCTGGGTACCTGACCTCTTAAAAGGAAAGGGAAAGGGGTCACACAGTCCCTCCTTCCTTGTAGTTATTTTTTATCCTGGCATGACTGGACTTCAGATGACCTGGGAATTGAACCCAGTTCCTCTGGAACATCAGTCACTGCTCTCAACCGCTGGGCCACCTCTCTCCTTTCTTCACCCTGCATTCCGGAACACCCACCCTGCATTTTGAAAGAAAGAGTACAAATTGTATTTACAGAATTATACATTTTGTCTTTGACTTCTTTGTTCATGAGTGGGTATGCACCCTGAGGACTTCAAGTAGAAATGACCGTTTTTCATATATAAAAGTTTATATTTGTGATTCTTTTAAGATATTTTCTTAAGGTTACCTTTTGAGATAAATAATAAAATGACCAGTCCTTTCTTTGAAACCACAAAATGCAGCCTGCCAGTAAAAGAACTAAGAAAAATATCTTGCTTGCTTACACTTTATTAATCTACAACAAGTTGCTTGGACATGAATGTATGTAGGTTCTTGGGGATAATTTCTTTTTTACCTGTAGTATGTAAAATATTTAATCATGTAAATGATATGGTTAAGTGATTGCTGTTTTTTTTTTAACCTGTATTCATCGTAATCATTCACTTGAAAAATAGAATGTAACCACACTGTAATTTTTATATTGCTTGAAAGATTTTGCTGGGGTAGATAAGCTGCAAATAAAGAAGAAGGAAGTCATCAAGAAAGACAGAAGGGAAACATCAGGGTAGAAGAACTGGACAGAAAAGGAGTAAAGCAGAACAGACAACAGACAATAAGAAAACGATGAACCAAGCTTTGGCTCCCAGAAAAGTCCTCATGTGTCTGTCTGCTCAGTAGGTCGCCTGCTCTGAGTCTCCTCTTCAGAGTCTCTGACCTGCTGAAGATTCGCCATTCGTCAGCACCCTAGGTGAGCTCCTGACATGTTGGAGGTGTGTGTGTGTGTGTGTGTGTGTGTGTGTGTGTGTGTGTGTGTTTCCCTTTTTCACCGGCCCCAGAGAATTAAGTTTTACTCCCTCAGAAAAGTCAACTGAGTGATTCGTCTGCTGACTCTGGCTCTCCTTCACTTCCTGAGCTGCTGAGGGCTGGTCCAGCAGCAATATTGCCCTGAGAAACTTCCCAAAACACTTATAAGGCAGAGCTCATGAAGAATTCTTAAGGGATGGCTTAACTCAATACAGGTGCTTCTGTACTTCTGCTGACTGCAAGCTTCACAGGCTGGGCAATGGAGTCCATTTAACACACGTAACCCCCACCACACACACACTGAAGTCTTACCTGGCCTCATGGTAACCCCAACTAATTGGGAGGGCCAGGCAGAAGGATCTCAAATTCAAGGCCTACTTGGATTACAAAGCCAGTCCAAGCAATTTACTGAGATTCTGTCTTAAGAGATGGGACTACACCTCAGTGACAGAATGCTTGTCTAGCATACATGACGTCCCAGGTTCACTACCTAGTCCTGGAGGCAGAGTTGTGCCTTAGAACCTATGGGACAGTTTGAGCAATGCGGTCTTGTGGGGGACTGCTCATGTTCAGAGTAAAGACCCCTCTGTATACACTAAATGCCAGAGACTGCTCACGTTCAGCGGGGGAGTAAAGACCCCTTTGTATACACTAAATGCCGGAGCACACTCTCATTCTGGGCTTAGTCACTCAGAACATTCTCTGCAGCAACTGTTCTTTGTTTTTGTTTTTGTTTTTTTTTTTTTTTCTTAAGGAACTGGCGTTACAGACAGTTGTGAGCTGCCATGTGGTTGCTGGGAATTGAACCCTGGTCCTCTGGAAGACCAGTCCGTGTTCTTAACTCTCCAGCCCTCAGCAACTGTTCTTATTCATCTCTCTTGAAAGGTTAAAAAAAAAACCCCACACCAAACCAACAAGGCTGATTGCATTTCAGAGACATACAGTAACAAAACATCACACAGTCTATCATTTTAAGTCATTTATTTCAATAGAAATATGTCAGAAAACTGTTCTTAAATTCACCTTAAGTTAGCTTATGCAAACACACCGAAGGTCACACACTCACTTCTGCATATTAAAAAGAAACAAAAGCAGAGAGGAACCAAGTTGCACATCACTCAAGGAGGTCATAGTGCAAGCGAACGCTTCATCATTAAGTACCTCGAGTTGACTGGGACAAGACTGGAAATGGCTTGTGAAGGTTTTCTTTCTCCCTCACTCTGTTGTATTATTAGTTTTGGGTACTTATCCCTACAGATGTTTGGGTTCCTCCTTCCAGGTCCTTCGGGGGCTGTCAGAATGAACATCAACCATCAAGGTGTAGGAACTTGAGAGTCTGGTGTTCCACCAGCTACCTTAGCCACATCCACTAACTCAACACTTCTTGGAACCACACTGTGTGTGAGTTCTCTCAGCGGACATCTTCAAGGACATGACATTGGTTACTTGATACAGAAATTCGAAACTTCCTGCTGATATCTGGCATTTTCTGCTTTCCTTTCCCCAAGTACTCCATGAACTCCTTTAACTCTGTTTTGCACACCAATTGGCTGGAATCAGATTTTAAATTTTGCTAATAACCCCAAGGACCTGCTAACCCTTTCATTGGCTCCATAGACCGTGTGTGTCTATGTGTCTATTTTCTAAGGACTCTAAAACCAGCATTTCTACTCAGATGACAGTATCTCCTGGCCTTCCAATGTCCTAAGCAAAATATTTCCAAACTTTGCTTTGGCCGAGAAACCTCACTTAGTTTCTTGCCTCTGATTTATTAATAGCGCTGTCTCTTTCTTGTGTATTTTCAAGTAAGCAATAACCAGCAAGGTGAGGGACGCTTGTTCATTGTGTCTTAGATGAGAAACTGAAATACATTTCATTTCTGGACGGAGGGACTGCCGCCATCACAGTATTTTAGCAGTCTTAGCAGAACGGAAACAACTCCTTCTGTGTGCTTCTTCCTCTGTTAGGGATTTCTCCAACAGGGCCTGTCACTAAACCTAAGCTGGAAACGACACCAAATACAAATCCACTCAGCCAGCACTCAGAGTGCTCACCAAAAGGCTGATGTGAGTGGATTTATTTTAACCCACCCAGACAAGAGAGCAGGAGGGAGCAAGGCTCACTTGAGAAAGAATCAAGACCGGAGGACTGCAAGTATCCAAACGCCCACGCAGTCCTCTTCGGGTTGCTGTGAGATTAAGCAGGTGGAAAGGGATGGCACACCCCTCAAGCCAGAGGGTCAAGAGGACCGATAATTACAGCCACCCTCAATGCCCTAACATTGTTTTCAAATTGATAAGGCACTGATCCAATTTCCCCCACACTATGGCTGGATATAGGTAAAATGCGATTCCCTTCACTGAGCTGAAAAACTGGAGTGTAAGCATCTCTTCAGTAGAATTCTCAAATTGAAAAGTCACTCTAGACACAAGCCATTTTTAGGGAAACAAACCCAAAAGGTACTTAAATCATTTTTAAAGGGTTCACATGTAATTTATGATCAACAGTATTTAACAGCAATTTCTGTCTCGGGGGCTTAGAAAAAACAATAGCTTCCTGGCTGTAAAACCAAGATGGTATTGAGAAATAAAAGAAGCGAAAATGAAGCAAGCCCTAAAAGGAGGCTAAAGTGTCTCCCCCCCCCCCCCCCGCACTTGCTCCATCACCATTCAGTACTGCTACATCAGTACTGCTACAGCCCTGGACAATGACGGTCAGCTTCTTTTTCGCCAGGATGCAATTCTTTTAAGTCTTGGGGGCAGAGGAATTCTTCTTATGAAAGCTTATCTTCCATTAAGCCACACTGGTACCTCTTGTTTGTGGAAGCTAACAGGATAGTTCAAAGCCCAGTTAGAAAGGCATGTGTCTCAATAAACAGGGAAGAAGCCAACAGAAGGTGTGCTCTCTTTAAAAGCCAATGGATTGAGTCTGTTGGTACTGACTTCCAATCAATGCAATGCCTCACCGTTTTAAATCTATGTAATTTACAGATTTTACCTCATGAAAAAGACTTGATGCTTAAGTCATTTGGACAGCTAAATGCTAATAACCCCCAGAGCGGATCAAGCTGTGTTTACAGGGCCACATTTCAGCTACCAAGGGGTCCAAGTGTGATTCCTCCCAGAGAACCATGCTGCTTGCTGGGCAGATTCTTTATAAATCCCGAGGAGGAAAAGAAGCCAATTATCAGAACTCTGCAGCTATGAGCATCCTGACTGACTCAACATTGATACCCAATAGCAACAGACTACGTAGAAGATGGTACCGATTTACACAGGAAAAATAATCACCACTGAAACATATGCTAAGGGGAGAGAGAAAAAATACTCCGGAATTGGATCCTTTTTTGAATTGTTTACACAAATACACACTGAACAAAACCAAACAGAGAGGTGTATTTCATCAATTCTCTTTTGACCCTTACAGCCTAGACACTATAGTGAAAGGATCCTGGAAACTAAGCACACAAGGTGCGGAACAGTGCTGGGGCTTTATGCAGTCATCTCTATAGTACACTGTAAAAACGGAATTCGGAAAAACAAGCCTTTATGTCCAAATGGGTTGTCAAATGAGATATGACTAGCAAAACACGTGATTGCGCCAGGCCATAGAATATCCTATTCAGTCTGCTTATAAACTAGCTTAAGTATATGTTTTAATCGAATTTCTAAAGAGTTCTCCTTGGCTATGATAGAAACAACTGAGCTCTAATGTTCATGGAAAATGAGCCTGTGAGTCCCTCTACAACTGAGAGTTAGTGTAACAGGATTCATTGTCCAATAAATAAAGTACTCAAATGTTTAATAAAGTTTGGCAATGTTTTCTTTGCTTCAATTATAATCTGATACCATTTTGTGAACTACTGATCAAAAAACTCAACCAACTCTACATAACTCATCTCTCACAGTTTCTAAAATCATCCTAAAATGCAATGACTGCTGTTTAGAGCAAATTTTAGGGTAGAAAAATAGTTTTAGTTTCAGCCAGAGGCCACAGTGCTACTTCAGACTGGCTCATCAAATCTGAACACGGTTTTTCCCTACACACCCAGAAGTGTCTAGAGCTGGGTGTATCAAACACGTCTTCCACCTCATTGCTTCCTCTGGCAAAACTGTGAAGTCAGCCTCTGCTAGACACCATCTCCACAGACGCCAGTCACCTACAACGTAACGGCTTTAGCTTACTCATGATAAAGTGGTAATAAAAAAGCCACAGGTTCTCATTTACAGTATCTCAAAAACAGCGTGCACACTACTTAAAACATTATTTCAGGAGCAAAATAAACTAAGGGGTTGCTAAAAATAGGCAAACCAAAAGTAAGATGTGCACAGTCTATACTATAATACTGCTAGCTACTCAGTAATGTCTGTCCGTATACCCAACATGGGTTAAGCTTAGACCATTATTTGAAAAATCATTCCATATAGGCAACATTTGCCTTCCCTTGCTTATCAATGAGACCCCAAATAATGTATTTCTGTCATGTTTGAATTATCTAAATTAGAGACACTCATAAAAGTTCTTTGCTTTCTCTTGGACTGATTTCTTTTTTAGCTGATTATTGTACATACAGTATTTCCTAGTTAAGCTCAATGGACTTGACGATAAAAATATTTCTGATAGAAAGCACACAATTCTTTGAGGATACAAATGTGAGAAATTTTACGTGATACCCAAAGAAAGAACTGTTTGCTTGGAGCTGTAAGTCAAGACCTTGCATGTTGTGGCCCACAGCAGTCTACTCAAGTGCTATTCTTGGTTAAAGTTCTAGGCTATCTCAAGTCCAACATTCATTTTAAAAATTAAACGTGTTACTGCCTAGGAGAGCACTCTCAGAACTGCTTAGCCAGTTACTAAGAAAACATGGTTTTCAGGTTGGGTCCGACAGTCAACTTTCTAAACAAATGTCCTGGCACATTCTGAAAGTCATACAGAGAAGAGGTTTTATATTTTTAATTCCTAGAGCTGCAAACTTTGCTTTTATTCTGCTTAAAACGGTTTTGTCTTACAATAAAATACACACCATATATATGTATGTATGTATGTATATACATACATATATATATGAAGAATCTTTTAAACAAGTATGCTCTTGAATCTGATACTGAACAAAAACAAATTTAATAAAAAATAAGTCTGGCATAATGCACATTAAACACTGCAAGGTCAAGGCTCTGGTAACCCCCCGGGTCTTCACCACGATGATGAACACCTGTAGCCGGAGAATCCACTTGACTTGAGAAAAATCTACAGGAACCTCAGCTTGGGGTAATCTTCCTCCTGTGCAGATTTACAGCCCAACAGTGGATTCATACAGAGAATTAAACCCAGGTAGAAGCAACCGTGTTTCCTGGAGCCTGCTGCCATGTGGACACTCGGCCTTTGTGCCTCCTTCAGGAAACCCTTCTAGCGCTGAGTTCCAAAGCGTAGTGTCTGACTAGATCCCTCCCCTGCTCCAAACACAACGCCACAGCCTGCACTGTCACCACTCAAACCCCAGTCTTGCTGTGGGGAAACTGAGGAAGCCAGGCCCAGAGGCTGCTTGCGCAGACCCTGCAGGTGGGCTGTTGGCCAGCTCCTCATGGACTTCTCACTGCACCTAAAACAGCTCCTGATGGAATCCGTAAGAAACGCTTTTCCTTTTGAAAGTGTATCTAAAAAAAAGATGGTTTCCCCTCTGAATTAGTACAAAGTTAAAAGAAACGCAAATTAGCTACAATTTATTCCAAGCACAGCACCGCCAGAAGATTCACACACACTATTTGGTGTTGGTTTTCTCTCACTCTGTTAAGGCAGTGGTTTCCACAGGTCAGTTCGGAGATAAGAAGCGTAGTTCATGGCAGTTTGTTTTGCAACTCCATTGTGTTCTCTGGGAATCTCTCTTCATTCCCTGAAATGAGTGCTTTTGGTTCTGAGCTCCGGAGGGAGGCTGGGCTGGAGCCTGGGGGCTCTCCCTGGCACGGGATGTGCAGCTGGCCGCCCTCAGCAGGTCCTTGCTCCACGCGATGGGAACAATGGTGCACCTCCTCTTTCTCAGGCTCTACTCAAATGTCATCAGGTTTGTAGGAACCTACAAGACAAGCGGCAGCCCACACTAACTGCGACGTTCCAAACACATTGCTTCAAAGTGGTTTTCCTAGTCCCTGAATGCGTCTCTCACAATGGCCTAAAGTGATCTTCCCGGCCGCCCCTCCAATTCACTCTGGGATGAGGGTTCTGCAACTCAAAACTGAACATATAAATTATATTACTATACACAAAATGTAGGTTTCTTGTTAAATAGCTGTTTTCAACAATTTATATAAGATTTAATAAACTAAATTAAAAACTAATGTGTTTTGTCTTGTTATTTAGCTAAACCCAAATCATTCTGACCTTCGCATCTTTCTCAAGACAAGGTTTCAACTTTGCAGTGCAGGCCAACCTTGAACTTGTTAGTGCTGGGGATGCAAGCAGGAGCCCCACAGTTTAAATGTGCTTTAAAAGGAGTTCGATAGCCTCGGGGATTAATAACAGTGAGTCTAGCGTGCTGGGTCATTTTAGAAAATCGCTGAGTTAATAAGCTCTTTCAAGTAGGTATGCCTGGACAGGAGGAAGGGCACAGGTGTGTTCGTGTCTTACTGGGGTCTAATGGCTGTTGACTCAAATAAGATGAATTAAAGAAGTATGGCAGACCTCTGTAGAGCGGAATTGCACACATCACCACCCACTTCTCTATGTACATTAGCAGAGCTACACTGAGAGCTTTATTGCAAACACGAAGGACTTCTCTATATAAACATCAGAAATACTAAGTCAAATTTACTGTTATTAAATTTATCTCACTCTTTCTGACTGAAAAATAAACAGGTTATAGAGAACAGGTCTGTGATGATATTTTATTTGTGCTTTAATAAAGCTTGCCTGGAGATCAGGAGAAAAGGCCAGCCATTTTAAGTAAACAAGAAGTCAGGCAGCACACGGCCTTAATCCGATCACTTATCAGACAGTGTCTCAGTGTGTTCAAAGGAACAGAGCCAAGCATGGTGACACACGTCTTTAACCCCAGTACCAACCATAGAGATCTGGAGGTCTGTACAGACAGACAGTGACAAGGAAGTGAGGTAGCTGGGCTAAGAGCCGATGAGAGGGCAGAATAGCAGGGCAATAAAGGCGTGGGTAAGACAGGAAGTTGCTTACATTTGGAAGCTGCAGAGTGGGTGAGGTAAGGTTGGCTGGTGGCTCTCCCTATTTCCCTGATTGCTCTAAGGCTTTCATCCCTATATTTGGCTCCATGTTTTTTATTTTATTTGGCTCCATGTTTTTATTTTATTTTATTTTTATTTTTATTATTATCCATTTAGAAATTAATCTACACAGGTTACCACTTGGGGACCATACTTACTTAATTTGATTTCTTTTAAGTGTGAATTAAAAAGTTTTTATGGTGGGGTTGGGTATGAAACTCAGGCAGGGCCTTGTGTATGCTGGTTAGATATTTCACCATGGGGTACAACTCCAGCCTCCAAAATCCAACTCCTCTCTACCAAGGGCTGCAGAGGGTCAGTCGGCACAGCCTCCCAGCTGCTTGGCCAGTGGTTTCCTCCCTCTTAGAGTGATGCAGCAGCTCTCCCAGGCCACAGACTCTTTCTCTGAAACCTGTTCCCCTTTGGAGCTGGAGCTATAGAGAGAGCTGGTCACCAGATGTGGGTGACAGGACCCGAACCCTGCCAGAGCAGCAAGCACTCTTAACCACTAAGCAATCTCCCTAGCCTCAGCCTCACGCGCTAGCTTTTGTATGAACAATTCCACGAGGCAGTATCGTAACTGAATTATAACTCAAATGCTCATGTGCTTAAAATCCCAGGTTTAGTGGTATGAAATCTTTAACAAAGGGAGTCTCACTTCTAAATCACCCAAATGTGTTTTAAGGTGTTTTGCATTTGAGTTAGGGTCTTCACAGGTTCTATTTAAAATTTGCTAACACTCTGACTGTTAAAAACAAAATAAATAGAAACAAAACCATTTTTGCATGCTGTGTGATATTAGGAAGGCTTATAACACAGTAAAAATGTACGTCTTTCTCTATGCTGGTATGAGTATACTCCAAGATTAATCTTGGAACCTGAGGGGTTTTTGTTTGTTTGTTTTGTAGAGACAGTGTTTCTCTGTGTAGCTCTGGCTATCCTGGAACTCACTTTGCACATTAGGCTAGCCTTGAACTCAGAGATCTCTGCCTTTCAAGTGCTGGGATTAAAGGCATGCAGCACTACCAGCCACCTGGAATCTGAGATTCTTTATAAATTAAAAATACCTCTGACTATATTTAAAGAAAATGCATGGCATGAAAGAGAACTCTGAAAGCCTTATTTATTATCTTCGGCAAAATAAAGGACATTTCTTTCATTCTGCCCCAGACACTAAGTTAATATGAGCAAAAACCTTTGTATTTTAAGTACTTCAAGGAGTTGTTAAAGGCTGTACCAATCTTTTTTTCTCTCTTCCCCTAAAATAATTGCGATAGAAAAAAGCCCTTCCAACAACACTTACAAAGGAAAAGCAAACGGCACCTGGGTTAAAGGCATTTGTACTTTTGACTGTGTGAAGTCATTAGTGTCTTTGAGCTTGTTTTCTTATTTATGAAAAGTTGTGATAACCTGATATAACAGGGCAAAAACCAAAGCAATTTAAGCCCTCTAAATTTATAGTGCACAACAGCGTCTGCTGATAGGCACTGATGATGCAAATGCATGCTGTAAAGCCTGAATTTGTGATTTCCAAATATGTGTAACTAGAAAAGCTTCCAGCAATTGCCACAACTGTGGCTGCCTTTTCTGTCCGCCAATCTGTGGTTCAGGGCATCTCGGCAAGAGGGCCCAGGGAAAACTGCCCAACAGAGAACTGTAGTGGGTAGCCATTCCAGCTTTGACCTGGAAGTTCCAACCCCCACTGAGGCTTCGGTAACTGTCACGCCTACAAGGCGGGGCCGAGAGAGAATGCTGAAGACCCGAGATCCGGATGGGCCGCCCTCTCTTGTTTCCTGGACCCTGGACGCTGGAGGTAGACCGTGCAGAGTTCTCCAGAGAACACCGCTGGACTGCACTACACCTTTCCTGGACCCTGTTACCTATCCCTTCATTTGTAAGTTATCCCACAAAATAACTTTTAACTACGTGGAGTGGCCTTACTAATTTCACCAATAGAGACCCGCCCCTTTACAGAGACCCCCTTTCCATTAGACCATCGTGGTTTCACTGCAACCACAGGAACCCACTTCAAGCTGTTATCCAAGAGAATCAGAGCTGTTCAAGCACCACCTCCGTTTTTCCCTTCTGAGCTGTCGTTTTCTCAGACACTGGCCATGTTTCTGTAGAGCTTTATCTACACACCTGCTGCTCCCCAGATTGGCCCACACTCTCTCTTCACAGCCTGTTCCTTCCGATCACCCAGGTCAGCATCACCGTCTCTGGGAAGGCTCAGCTGCACACACTGCCTTACCCACCAGTCTCTCTTCTCTGTTCTCTGTATTGCAGTTTTGTTTACTTATTTTCTTTCTAAAATATGGACTCCACACCTCACTGACTGCTATAAACAACGAAAAGGAAACACTACCAAGACAAGTATCCAGCTGCGTGTGGTAGTGCACACATTAAATCCCACAACACTAGTGCTAAGGCAGGAGGATCACATGTTTGAGTTCTAGGCCAGCCTAAATTATTATGTTATGAACGCCTATCTCTAGAATACGTAAGTAAGAATGTGAAAGCTACAGATGGTGGAGGGGGAGGAGGGGGGAAGGGGGAGGGGGAGGGGGAGGAAGGAGGAGGGGAGGAGCACTCACCTGCTGCTTGTCGCTCTGGCAGGCCGCACTCAAATGTTTAAACCACAGCATTGCGTTCATCCTGCTGCCAGCTTGAAACTTGTAAGAATTTCCTAAAATTACCAAAGCAAGTAGAAAACAATAACTACAAAGATAATACCTCCCAACATTCCTGCCAGACAGAGAAGACCAAATGAAATAGACTACAGTGCTCAGTTTCAGAATTCTATTCACTTGCAATCTTGTTTCCCAATGTAGAACTCTATGCCACACGCTCATGGGATCTTACATTTAGAAAGTCACCTTCCTACCGTGGGCACAGTAAAGGTGACTGTGGTTCCCTAAGTGTTCATTAAATCACTGGGAAGCTTCTCCAGTCTCCCCTCACCCCTTACTGTGTATCAGTCAATGATGTACTAACTTATGCACATTGAGCCTTTGTTCAAAGTTATAGAGCACTGACTCCATGAGTTGGATTCCTTGGGCTTTTAATTTAGGCTTCAAATACAGTATGGAACAAAAGGACTCCAACAGACATGATTCCTGAAATGCTTTCCTGCTGTTAATACAGCAGAACCAAGATCAGGGCTCAGGAGTTAGTGTCCGCAGTCCTTCTGATCCCATCTGTCTAGCAACTCACCTTTCTCCGAGTCAGTAAGCAGAAAGAGGTCTGGATGCTCTGGATCATCAGCCATCATTACCATCCATCCCACCACAGACACATTCTTATTCGACGTTGACTTGAACTGAGATGGAAGACAACCAGAAAAAAACAGTGATAACCAGTGACTGTTAGAGCTAGTTCCCAGTGAAGGTCGAGTGTCAGAGAGCTTATTTTCAGTTTGTCCTTAGGAGAGAGAAGATGACTGACCTATTGCTGACCCAGGTCAGCTCGGTATGCCCCCCACTCTCCAGTCATCCCCAGTGTCAAGGTTTCATTACAACCGCTGTCCACTTCTGCAAAGCATGCTTGTGACTGCTCCTTCTCCTAGTCACAGGGTTACCGCCCAGAGCAGTGGTTCTCAACCTTCCTAACTGCGACCCTTCAGTAAAGTTCCTCACATAAGGTGATCCCAACCATCGCATTGTTTTGTTGCTACTTCGTAACTAACTTTGCCACTGTTGTGAACTGTAATGCTAACACCCGAGTTCTCCCACGGCCTTAGGTGACCCCCAAAGGGCGTGCAACCCACAGGTGGAGAAGTGCTGATTCGCAGACACAGCTGCCTCCTAACAGCTGCACTTCCTCAGCCTGACGATTTCGTGCCAGCGAGGCTACCAGACAATTCCTCCTTGTATTTCACACAACCAAGAAAGATTTAAAAAAGGGGGGGGGGGTATTTCAGCATGCTGGTTACTTTCATAGTTAGCTACTCTTTTCTGTTGGGAAGGGGTGCTATAAAGGGCAGAAGATAAGGTTAATCTCAGTACCAGAAGTAAAGAATGTTAAAAATACTGAAAACTCAAAGCTAGCAGTGTGTAAAAAAAAGCTGTCAGAAGTCACATTACAGAGAAAAAGTCAGACTTCAGAATGCTGTGGATATTGTTTTATATAAATAAAACACTGATGGCCAGTGACCAGACAGGAAGTATAGGCGGGACAAGGAGAGAGGAGAATTGGGGAAACAGGAAGAAGGGGGGAGAGACACTGCAGCCACCGCCAGGACAAGCAGCATGTAAAGATGCCGGTAAGCCACCAGCCACGTGGCAAGGTATAGATGTATAGAAATGGGTTAATTTAAGATATAAGAACAGTTAGCAAGAAGCCTGCCACGGCCATACAGTTTATAAGTAATATAAGCGTCTGAGTGATTATTTTATATGTGGATTGTGGACTGCGGGGCTTGGGGGACCTGGAGAGAAGCCCTCCAGCTACAGCAGAAGACTTCCACCATTTAATTGCCAGTGAGTGTGGCCTGGTTAAACGCTGAACTTTATTTATTAAAATAAGAATAAGCAACAGCTCCACATAGGACTTTTGCAGAAGAAAAAGCATGAAAAGGGTGAAGCTCATTAAGGAACCGACAGCACACAAATACAAAATGCACAGCCACGCTTGATTCACAGGAGCAGCCGAGACCAGGAAACTTAAGATATAAAACCCAGAGAACCTGTGCACAAAAATATCCAAGAAAAGTATTGGAAATCGGGAGGAAATGAACCTGTCAAATATTCACCAACAGAAAGATAATAAATAATGGGAAACGCAGAAAAGAGAAGACTCTTCAGCTATGAAGAGGAATAAATGATAATTACAGGCATCACCAATGACTTTCAACGGTATAAAGCAAAGGCACTCAGTCTTACAAATACACATGCAGCCAGATGTGGTGGCGCATACCTTTAATCCCAGCCGAGGCAGGGGAGGAGGAGGAGGAGAGGAGGACCTCTGTGAGTTCAAGGCCAGGTCTCATAGTGAGTTCCAGGACAGACAGGCTACACAGTGAGACCCTGACTTTAAAAAAAGGAAAAAGAGATGCCGGGCGTGGTGGCGCACGCCTTTAATCCCAGCACTCGGGAGGCAGAGGCAGGCGGATCTTTGTGAGTTCGAGGCCAGCCTGGGCTACCAA